AAAAGTTACCCGACGAACTCTGCTCCGCAGTCCTAAGGGTCTTAATACCCAACCATTTTCTCCAGTTTTCTGCTGTCTTCTGTTTCCTAGCCTGACTTACCGATGTCGACAATGCAACCACAGCCAGAGGGAGCTTGGTAGCAGGATAACAGGGTAGCAGAGTATCAGGATTGCTGCATAGTTGTGTGGGAGCAAACAGACGATGTTAAATCCGAATCTAAATTTGAATCCAGTGCCACCAGAGTCAGAGTCAGAGTCAGAGCGAAAGCCACAGCCACAAGCCGCAACGCGCTGTCTATCAACATTTTAAGCTAATTAACGCACAGGGGATGCCGCCCTCAGAGGGGCGCTAATGGTAATGGCTACAGGACTAAGGACTAAGGAGCACACACTCACAGCCACATCAAATGGGCAAAAAGCGATCTGTGTAAAAGTCGCGCAAAATGAAATTATAACTTGGCATGCGGCAATGCGGCTAATTGACAAATGGATAATGCTAATCCCCAATGCCAGCACTGACAGAAAAGGGAAAGTATAAATCGGTAGAAGATTTTACACATAAAATTCTAGAACATAACTTAAACTTTAGTTTAAACTTAATAAATGAGTATGTAGATTGTTAGTAGTAGTATCTTTTCATTAAGAACATTCATTGACATCAGTTTAATAAGCATTCTCGTCATGTATCCAGTTGTGGGTCTATGGGGCGCTCAACAAGTACACTGGGACTCATCCATTATCCATTATCCATGGACCTACATACATATATCCCCTCTCTCTTCCTGCTCCTCGGTGGATTGCAGCACACTGCAGCAGTGCCGCAGTGAAAATGCAACCCTGCAATTGGCATTCCCCGTGGAGCTAGCCGCCTGTCCGCATGAATCATCGGGGCCATAATAGACTCGACACGGCCAGACATTGCTTCCTCCCAGCCAGGAGAGGGATAAAGGGAGCAGCAGGAAGTGCAGGAACAGTAGGAGTAGCAGGAGCAGGAGCAAGAACAGTAGGAACTGCAGGAGAAGGAGCAGTAGCAGGAACAGTATGAGTAGCAATAACAGAAGCAGGAGCAGGAGCAGGAACAGTATGAGTAGCAGAAGCAAGAGCAGGAGCAGTAGCAGTAGAAGTAGCAGTAGCAGGAGCAGGAGCAGGAGCAGGAGCAGGAGCAGGAGCAGGAGCAGGAGCAGGAGCAAGAGCAGGAGCAGGAGCAGGTGCAGGAGCATTAGCAGGAGCAGGAGCAGGAGCAGGAGCAGGAACAGGAGCAGGAGCAGGAGCAAGAGCAGGAGCAGTAACAGTAACAGTAACAGGAGCAGGAGCAGAAGCAGGAGCAGGAGCAGGAACAGTATGAGTAGCAGTAGCAGTAGCAGTAACAGTAACAGGAGCAGAAGCAGGAGCAGGAGCAGGAATAGTATGAGTAGCAGTAACAGTATGAGCAGCAGTAGCAGTAGAAGTAGCAGGAGCAGTAGCAGTAGCAGTAACAGTAACAGGAGCAGGAGCAGGAGCAGGAGCAGGAGCAGCACCAAACTGGGCCGCACATGTGAAGCATGGATAGATAAAGCTGTCCGGGGCCAAGGAACTATAGCACTATAATGTGGGATCGGGGGAAGATAAGGGCAGGGGTATCTGCCAAATGGCATGTTCAAACAAAATTAAGCGCGCCAACAACAGTGACTTGTTGTTCCTGTTGTCGACTGTACGGGTCATCAAACCAAGCTGCGATTTTAGCTGCATTGGCAAAACACACAGGGTGCTTAGTTACTGAGAAATGCTATAAATATATATTTATAAATATGTATTTCATATTTTGTTGTATTTACAATTGTTTAAGAGCTTGAACACACTGAAACTTGAATTAGTTTCGAAATAAACCAAACGATTCCTAAACATATAATGAACCTCTTCGAAATATTCTTAAACACATATCCTATTAATTTAATTTTTGATAAGGATTTTGCTAATAAATAATGGATTTTAATTGTATTTTATCGTTTTTAACATTAAATGTTATTTATGTTCTCTTATCAAATGTAATGAATATATAATTTTTAGTTTTTTCCTCTTAAGGTTATTCCGGAAGAATTATGAGAAATGTCTTACTAAATGAAAAACACAGTATAAATTAGTAAGATTATTTTTTAAATTACACAGACCGTCAACATTTTAGGACTGGGAATCGAAAAATATGTTACTAAAAGTTTTTGATATGCTAAAATTGAATCCAGCGTCAAATTTAATATATGAACATTATTTTTTCGAATCATTAGATCTCTTAAGATAATTAAAAATCGATTTTTGGTTACATTTGAGGTCCTTTAATAAGTATTTTCTTTTTTAAACGTTAAAGCTTCTTAATAAATTAACTAATCAATTTTAAAATTCTGCAATAATCCTTGTTGCTTGCTTAGATATAGCCTTTTGAATTTATATCGATATTTTTCCATCAATTTTCAAGTTTGATGAATTTAACAACTCTTCCAAGTGGTGTGTTCTTTCCCATTTGAATTTTATTCATCTTATTTCCATAGTTAAATAGCTAAAAAATTCGATAGGTATACATAGATATTCAAGAGTAAATGTGTACTTGCCACCAAATATAAATAAAAGCTTAACACAGCTTATGTAAACAATCTATAACAGTCAACATCACAGCATTTTCCATTATATTTTGTATGTATTTTTATTTGCCTTTTTTTCTGATATCTTTTGACGAAGCAAACTAAATAATGTTGTTTTGCAATTGCTACACGCGAATACATTTATGTTTATTGGATATTTGTATGCCACCTTTCTTTTCTAAATATTTTCTGTGGGGAAATTACATTTTGGCTGAAAACGAAAAAAAAAAAAAAATAAATAAATAAAGAAAAACAAGCAGGAAATGCCCAAGGCTGACTTTTTACATCTTTTTTACTTTGCAATGCGGACGCGATTATCGCTTCAATCATCATTTTTATTCAAGGCAATTTAATATTGGCGGTTTTTTTCCCAACCGCCTGGGGCACCCTGTTTTTATTTTTTTGTGTTCATTTTTTCAGTTATTTTTTTTGGAGCCAAGTGAAGAAAAATTAGCAACAATAAATTGAACGGAAGTTGCTGCTCAAATTGAAAGAGAGCGCGCCGTGGAGACGGTGGGGATTCCCCCAAAAAAACATAAAAATAAGGCAATGGGCGGTGGGCTGTGGGCTGTGGGCGTGGCATGTTTGTCTGCGGCTGCTATGGTCAGCACACACACACAACACACACACTCGTGTGTGCTGGTACGTGCCCCTCTTGGCGCCTGAGTGTGTGTACATGTGTCCCTGTCCTGTGCTTCGTCCTTTCCCTCAGCGGCTGTCTGTCTGCCTGTCTAGATTGAAATTCCAGACCTGAGCCAAGAATGGGCGTGCAACGCCTGCAATGCACTGCAGGAAAAAATCAAAGGATTGTAATGAGGCAAGGATATCAAACAAGAAGAGTTTAAGAATAAAAGAAGGGGTCTTTGTACTGGAATTTAATTTCGAGAATTTAAAGAGTTGGACTTCTCCTGGAAAGAGATTGAAACGGGAGGCTCCAGCTCTCAGATCTAGACTTCTCTTCGAAGAAAAGCTTAAAGAAGTGCAACATATAAAACTAAAATCAAGTCGAAGGAATTGTTTAACTTCTATATGTAATATATATATACAAATGTACGCATATTCCCGGTGTGTGGTGTTCGTTTCTCCACCTGTAGGTACATGTGGCTACGTTACAACAAATCGAGGAACGAAAAGGAGAATGCAACGTAACGGACGTTGCATACAGATTTTCAATTTCCATATCGTGTTGCCTGTCCACTGGCCCCTGCAGCACTTCGTCCTGGCTCTCTATTCCTTTCCTTTCGGCAATTTCCGCTGTAAATGCCGAAACAAAGGGAAAACAAAATCCAACACAAAGAAGCGGCAAACTAAACGTAACTACAACAATAACAAGGAAGAAGGAGCAGCAGCAGCAGCAACAGCAATATCAGCAGCAACAACAGCAGCAGCAGCAGCAGCAACAACAGCAGCAGCAGCAGCAATAGCAACAGCAACAGCAACAGCAACAGCAACAGCAACAGCAACAGCAACAGCAACAGCAGCAGCAACAGCAACAGCAACAGCAACAGCAACAGCAACAGCAACAGCAACAGCAACAGCAGCAGCAGCAACAACAACAGCAGCAGCAGCAATAACAACAGTAACAGCAACAGCAACAGCAACAGCAACAGCAGCAGCAGCGACAACAACAGCAGCAGCAGCAGACACAACAGCAGCAGCAGCAGCAGCAGCAGCAGCAACAACAACAGCAGCGGCAGCAGCAGCAGCAGCAGCAGCAGCAATAGCAGCAACAACAGCAGCAACAACAGCAGCAGCAGCAATAACAGCAGCAACAAGAAACAAAACCCAAAACAATGGGCAAATAGCGCACAATGAAACGGCGACTGAATGAATGAATTGAATGAGGAAAATGTTGATGGAATGACCAGGCGACAAAACTGTCAATTGTCCTTAAGAACACTAATAAAAATAAAACAACTAGAACTGGGTTCTATTACAGGAACAGCTTGATCCTTTTCCTTGACTAGAATATACCTAGAACCCAGTCTTGCCTTCTTCTTAAGACAGAAATCAGGAATAGGAGAAGCTAAGGCTTATATCGTAATCTCTTCTACCTTCTCAAAGAACCCTATCATGGGGTGCACTTGGTCCTAGAGGTTTACTTCTGAATTTTTATTTTATTTTGCTATCCTTGTAACCGACGATGTGCCTGGCATAACTTGACAAAAACTTGCCCCCTCCAATCCTGACGCTCTCCTAGTGGAACCAACCGCAGGCGCCTGGCAACACTTTGCATATGTATCAAGGACATCAATTGTGGGTGCCAGGTCCTTCTGTTGGATGCCATTTGAGTAATTTGTACATGTTTTACCAGAACTTTTAGAGGGTCTATCCATGTATGTGCCATCAATTAATTCCTCTTTCTCTTCCTCCTTGCAGGTGGTAAGGATGTCGCCTGCTGAGCAGCTTCCCCTGGTCGGAGGCGTCAGCATCGGTGGTGTGGGAGTGACGGGAGGAGTTCCAGTTGCCTACCAACTGGCGGCCAGCACAAGCGGTGGAGCTGGTGGTGCAGGCGGTGGCTCTGTGGGGGATCCTGGTGGCGTCGGTGCTGGCGGTGGTGGTGATAAGCTAAAGGAAATGCCCGATAAATATGTGGTGGCAATATCCCAGTTCCTTGACTGGCATGGCAACGAGACCTCGGACATGGAGCGGCTAAGTGGACCGATCCTCAAGTCGAGCATCAAATCTGTGTACTGGCTATTCCTTATCCAATATGCAGCCCTGGCCGTGCTGGGCGTTGTCCTCAACGTGGCCATTGTGGTGTACATAATGTACCATCGATTGTACAAGGATGTGACACATGCGTTCATCATCAATCTGGCGCTATGCCATTTCGTCCAGTGTGCCCTCGTCCTGCCCGTTTCCCTGATGGTGATGCTCATCCAGAACTGGATCTTTGGTCAGTTTCTGTGCTTCTTTCTGCCCATGCTGCAGGTGAGTTAATGGGCTTTTTTTGGAGGGGGTAGGATAAGGTAGGTATCCTTTATCTATATATTCTTTAGCAATCACTGTTAACTACAGCTCAGGGCTATATTTATCCCGGAGATGGCATCCGTTTGCGCTCAATTGAGCAGCGCCTGCTGGTGTCCTTTCAAACAATCGTGGTCCTGTCTGCTGCCTCACCTCATTATGGAGGCCACCGTGATTGACACATTTGAGCAGGAGCTGAAGCAGCAGGAGGAGCAAGTGCAGGAGTCAGAAATCAGTAGCAAATAGAATCGTATACTTTCATTCGGTTCGATTCCTTTGTGTGTGGCGAAAACAAATGCGACCAGGGGGAAATGTAGCCTTGTTCTGGCTGCCGGGGATCAGGAGGATAAAGGATATGAGTAGAGATTCTCCAGACAGAGAGTGGGGCAATTCGATTAGGCTCGCCGTCCTTGGAGCAGACAAATGATTACATTTACAACCTTGACGCTGCTGGAGATTCTATTTTCGAAGGATATGGGATACGGAACGGGATATGATTCGATTTGATTGCTATCACAAAAGGGGGCGACAAATAGCTGGAGCTACCAAAAAAACACACACGCACATTTATCAATGGCACAGCAGTCACGTGTGTGTATATTTGTGGAGTTCCGACCACTGCCAGTGGCCTAATGGAATGATTGATGGGAGGCAGGAACAGGAACAGGATGCGGAAGCTGAGGTAGGGAGGTGGACGTGAAGCTGCCACAAATCTGACAAGTTGCCTGAAATCCCGCTTCTTAAAGCCGTCAAAAGCCTAGGGCTTTTGTCTGTAGCAATACATAAATCATATAAAGTTGAAATTAAGTTGATTTTTCTAGGTGTTTATAGCTTATGCTTTAATTAATTATTAATATTTATGTGTATTCCCTAGGACATTCCCCTTCATGTGGCCATGATCTCACACATCCTGATCGCCTGGGACCGCATGCGTTGGCTAAATGATCCTTTGAAAGGACGTCTGCCGGGCTTTGTCTGCTGCTGTGCCACCTGGCTCACCGGGATGGTGATTGCTCTGCCCTATCCCATCTATACCATCTATGTGGAACTGGGGGTGAGTTATCTTTTAGGCTGAAATACTTGTTTCTCTGTTACTTACTCGCTTGTTGCTTTATTAAAAAAATCCGTGGGCGTCGTGGCAACCGACTCTGGCGGATCAAAGGGCCAGGCACTAGACCGGAAAAGCGCGCGAATATAGAGTCATGTGTGTGTTGTCTTCTGAATTTTCCCAGGCTTGATTTTTCCCATACGTGTGTGTGTGTGTCTGATATATATACCGGGCTTCCACACCCACTCTCAGCAGCTGACAGAGCTCCTGTTATCCTCAAAGTGGACCCAATTCCAAGCTCGTTAAAATGGCCTGTCAACGGGGTCTGTGTGCCAGACTTTGCCTGCATTTTGTTGCCAAAATATTTGGCTACATCGACATCGTTCTCCCCCCTTTTGGGGGAAAGCCACCTCAAAGTGCGCCCACAACGGCAACAAGAGACATAAATATTTATGGGCCATAAAGTGTTGCAACTTTTTGATACACTCCCCTGCCACACACACCTCCTGCTCCCTTTTGGGCTGGCATTGTGTCAAATCATCACTTGCATATTTTGTGCTTCTGTTTTTTTGGGGGGGAATTTGCCAGAAAGTGAGCCAAGGAATGCCAGTGGGAAAAATAGCAGCAGCAGCAGCAGTAGCACCTTGCCAGGAATCGAGAGTCAAATAGTTTCAGTCTTGAGAGCATTTTCAAATGGAATTGAGGTTGAGGTTGAGGTTTGTGAATAAGCGGGTTCTCAATGGGGATTACTAAGTAAAAGAGGGAAACCATTTTCAGAGGGTGTGATACATATGAAATACACACTATAAATTGTAGGAATGAGTTCTACAGAGAAAAGGAAACAATCTAGGGATATACATAGCTAACACAGCTAACTTTTTATTCATTTTCAATAATAATAAATTATTTGAAATTAATCTTCCTAAATTAAAAAATTAGCGACTGCTATATTTATATTTATTGTGTATTTATTTTGTTGAATTCCAGATACAATCGATGATCAGAAGTAATACTCAGTACTATTATTTAATATCCCTTAATTGAGACTCGACTATATCCTAGAACATAAAATTGTTCTTTTCATAAAAAAATAAAAACTGGTGTTGGAGGTTATATTTTCACCATCATCAGACAAATTGGAAATGATCAAATCATAATTTTTTGCTATGCTTAGAATTTAGTTTTCTATTTTTAAAATTTCTGTGTGAAAATAGTTTTAATATACCCTCGCAGGGTATTATAATTTTAGTCAGAAGCTTGGAAGGAACCATTTGGAAATTTGTGGAACAATATTTTAGTTACTTTTAATATGAAGTTTCTATTATTATTTTATTATTATTATTGTTAAGTGACTTAATTAGTTTGATATTTACAAATATATTTCTATATTTTAAGGCAAACCAGAACCTCTACTTAACAAATATGATCATCAAACAACTTTGCTATAATATTTAAACTTAGTTATTTCTAGAGCAACATTTTTGGTTACTCTTTAAATGTAGTCACTATAATTTGTACTATTACAGCTTATAATGATTTAATGAGTTTACTGTTTCCTAACAAGTATTATTTAGAATAAACCAAAATAAATAACTATTTACCGACTTCTGGACACATGTAATTTCCCCAAATGACAGAGAACTGAAAATGGTTATGTTACCATTTCGTATTTTTCCCATTTTCTGGTATTGTTTATTATTTATTTTATATGGCTCAGGAATCCAAAGTACACGGCAAACGGAGTTGATTGAACCTTTGCCGGCAATTTTGTATAATTTATTTGGCAATTCACTGACCATTCAGAAAGCTGTCATTCCGCCCGCTCCCTATGGGGGGCAACAAGTGGAGCTCGACGGGTAATCCTCTAGAGAGTCGAGCGAGCTCCTGGCTCTACTACGTGCTCCTGGTACCGCTCCTGCCCAGTCGCCTGTCAATAATTTCATTAATTCAATATTTGCGTATAATTTGATGGCTGCTCTCCAAGGCAACTCAACTCGCTCTGGCAATGGGGCTTATTATCTCAAAGGGGGTGGGTCCCAAACCCCCATTGCCTTGTGTTTGCGGCAATTTATGAATATTTTAGCATTCTATTACGACGACACACACATGGCCATAGGAGGAGCAGGAGCAGCAAGGATTCAAAGGAGTACCAGTCGATGTAGGACACTGTTATTATGGGGAGTATGTGCCAGGTCCTTGTCTTGTGTATAAACAATTCCATGAGGACTCTGATGGCCAATTCACAATTTGCCAAGCCTGCTTGCCTCCTCTCATTTTCGCCATTTAATAAGCGAAACTTTTCACATAGTTTTCGAACCCAAAAAGTCGAAAAACACACACACATCATACACCCCAAATTGCTCCAGATTCAGAGATGGGTTCAGATTCGTATACCTCGAGAAGCTCTCGCTTCGAGGAGCAGCTCTTGCCCTGAATCCTGGACTGGACTGGGAGTTGGCTCCTTTTACAGGTGCGGGTTTTTTTTTTTTTTTTTTTTTAAAAAATGCTTATTTATTGAGCTGAATTTTATTATTGTACAATTACTGTAGTATAGCAACTTTTTTACAATAGTGATGGGAGAAGTTCAATGGAAAAGTGTCAGAAACTTTTTCCCCCACACAAAACAAATTGAAATTTTCCATATTTCTACGCATGCCTCGGCTCCCGGGTCTCCTCCTGGTCTCCTCCTGGCTCAAAGGCTCCTCCAGGACTCCCAGACTCCTGTTGGTTGTTTGCTAGCCCCTCGGCGACTGGCGGCTACCTGGCAGCGGCTTCCCTTTGTGCTCTGGCAAATTGATTTTTTAAGTTGTCCCCAAACAAATCAGTATGGAAAAATACAGCAATCCCTTTACCTCCGTCAAGTGGAGGAGCCTACTATAAATGTGGAATGTGTCCTGAAGGACATGGCTTTCAGTTCAAAAATGCTCAAGTAATTGAAGTTGCTAAAATAAAATATTATATGTTAGAAAAGTTATGTTTGGAAATGATGTTTAATAAATATATATATTTTATTAATTAGTATGTGATACTTGAAGAGTGCTTGAATTTATTTAAAACTATTAACAAACGATTTTGTTTTCAGAGAACTCAGCTATCCACTGAAGAAATAACCCAAAAATAGTCAATAGTCAACTCGATATACATACAAATGGCTAATTATTCGATTTTTATGTTTCCTTTAACTTATCTTCTGAAAACTTACAAAATTCGTTTATAAAAGTGGTTTTTATACCATAAAATTAATGCATTCACTTATCCCAATTTTTCACTCTCTACTTAACTTCGATTTTTACAATTCTGTTTTCATAAGAATGCCTTCATCTGATACAGTAATTTCAGATTGATTTCTAATTGCAGGTTTTTTAAAGCGCCAAACAAGAAACACAGAAACGCTTTCCGAATTTAAATTAACGCACTTTAGACAAAGTTAGCGATTTTTAAACTTTGACTGTCCCAAAAAATACTACAAAATTATCTAATAGAAATTTCGATTTCACGAATCTTGCAGGGGAAAATATAATTTTTATCAGTGAAGGAGCCATTTCCGACCCTATAAATCATATATATTCTTGATCAGCATTAACAGGCGAATCATTCTGGCCATCTCAGGTTGCAAAACAGACATTTCGAATTTTTCTAAAAAATTGTAATTGTAATTGTAATTCATTAAAATTGTGAAAAATCTAAAAAAAATTGTATTTCTTAAAAAGCGAATTTTGGAATGCAGATTTGTTAAGCGCCAAGCAACTAACGCAGGAGCGGTTCCCGAAATGAAATTAATGCACTTTTGGCAAAGTTATGCGATTTTTAAACTTTGACTGTCCCAAAAATACTATAAAATTATTAAGTAAAAATTTCGATCTAAGAATCTTGCAGAGGAAAATATAATTTTAATCAGTGAAGGAGCCATTTCCGACCCTATAAATCATATATATTCTTGATCAGCATTAACAGGCGAATCATTCTGGCCATCTCAGGTTGCAAAACAGACATTTCGAATTTTTCTAAAAATTGTAAGGGGCTACATCATTAAAATTGTGAAAAATCTAAAAAAAAATTGTATTTCTTAAAAAGCAAAATTTAGTATGCAGATTTGTTAAGCGCCAAGCAACTAACGCAGGAGCGGTTCCCGAAATGAAATTAATGCACTTTTGGCAAAGTTATGCGATTGTTAAACTTTGACTGTCCCAAAAAATACTACAAAATTATCTAGTAGAAATTCGATTTCAAGAATCTTGCAGAGGAAAATATAATTTTTATCAGTGAAGGAGCCATTTCCGACCCTATAAATCATATATATTCTTGATCAGCATTAACAGGCGAATCATTCTGGCCATCTCAGGTTGCAAAACAGACATTTCGAATTTTTCTAAAAAATTGTAAGGGGTTACATCATTAAAATTGTGAAAAATCTAAAAAAATATTGTATTTCTTAAAAAGCGAATTTTGGAATGCAGATTTGTTAAGCGCCAAGCAACTAACGCAGGAGCGGTTCCCGAAATGAAATTAATGCACTTTTGGCAAAGTTATGCGATTTTTAAACTTTGACTGTCCCAAAAATACTAAAAAATTATTAAGTAAAAATTTCGATCTAAGAATCTTGCAGAGGAAAATATAATTTTTATCAGTGAAGGAGCCATTTCCGACCCTATAAATCATATATATTCTTGATCAGCATTAACAGGCGAATCATTCTGGCCATCTCAGGTTGCAAAACAGACATTTCGAATTTTTCTAAAAAATTGTAAGGGGTTACATCATTAAAATTGTGAAAAATCTAAAAAAAATTGTATTTCTTAAAAAGCGAATTTTGGAATGCAGATTTGTTAAGCGCCAAGCAACTAACGCAGGAGCGGTTCCCGAAATGAAATTAATGCACTTTTAGCAAAGTTATGCGATTTTTAAACTTTGACTGTCCCAAAAATACTAAAAAATTATTAAGTAAAAATTTCGATCTCAAGAATCTTGCAGAGGAAAATATAATTTTTATCAGTGAAGGAGCCATT